TTGTTGTTGTTGTTGTTGTTGTTGTTGTTGTTGTTGTTGTTGTTGTTGTTGTTGTTGTTGTTGTTGTTGTTGTTGTTGTTGTTGTTGTTGTTGTTGTTGTTGTTGTTGTTGTTGTTGTTGTTGTTGTTGTTGTTGTTGTTGTTGTTGTTGTTGTTGTTGTTGTTGTTGTTGTTGTTGTTGTTGTTGTTGTTGTTGTTGTTGTTGTTGTTGTTGTTGTTGTTGTTGTTGTTGTTGTTGTTGTTGTTGTTGTTGTTGTTGTTGTTGTTGTTGTTGTTGTTGTTGTTGTTGTTGTTGTTGTTGTTGTTGTTGTTGTTGTTGTTGTTGTTGTTGTTGTTGTTGTTGTTGTTGTTGTTGTTGTTGTTGTTGTTGTTGTTGTTGTTGTTGTTGTTGTTGTTGTTGTTGTTGTTGTTGTTGTTGTTGTTGTTGTTGTTGTTGTTGTTGTTGTTGTTGTTGTTGTTGTTGTTGTTGTTGTTGTTGTTGTTGTTTTATAATTGTTGTTTTTAATTTTTACAATTAACCTCCCTGTGGTTCGACCCCGGTCTTGCCGGGTTATTTATTACTTCGACACTCCTGCACTTGGGAGAAGACATCAACCTTTTTGTCGTGTCAGTAGGCTATAAACAACGTTGTTACCTGCAAAACACCCAAAAACACACATAAGCAAGTTTGTTTTAACTTTTTCTTTCATTGTTTTTAGATTTGTTTGTGTTTTGTTTTCCATCTGTTGTTCTTCCTTCTTCTCAAGTGGCCGACCTGCTGTGGAGTGAGGAGTGGCTCACCAGCGACTTGCACTGTCAGATACCAGCTGGATTGGGTAGATCGTTGACTCCTCCTTCTTCTTTGGTCGGCGTTGAGGCAAGCAAGGGTCTAAGGAGGGGGAACGGACCACATTAAGCTCAGTCCCTTCTCCTCTCTTTCTCTTTTAACAAGTGTTGAGGTAGTAGAGGATTGCTGGTGACGGAGAGGGATGATCTGTGAGGTCTGGTCGGGGTAGGAACCAAACGTGAGGCGGCTCTAGTGAGACCGAGAGACGATGACCGTAAAAGGGTCTGAAAACCATAAGAGGGGGGAGAAACGATAGTTGTGGCTAAGTTGTAGTGGTCTGGAGAGTGAGGGGGCTATCTGTAAACGACTAAGAGAAGGAAAGTGAGGGAGCTTTTTTGGTTTTTTTTGGAGAGTTCTGAGGAAACTCTAGTCTTTTTCTCTTCAAAGGGAGGGGGTGACTGTCACTGTATTGATGACTAGCAGAGGAAAATCAAGTGAAGGCTAGGGTCAGAAGGTGAGCGGCGTTTTTTGCCTCTTTGTGTGGGGTTTCTCTGGTTTGCTTTCAAGGCCAAGGGAGACTCCAGCTACAGGGGGAGAATGGATTTTTTAGGTTTAGGGTTCTTTCTTTTTTTCTCCCCCCCCCCCTCAATTTTTTTTTTCTTTCCCTAGGTCACCCTTTTTCTTTTCCCTCCTCTTAATTTTTCTCTTCCCCAAAATTTTTCCCCCGTGTAAATTTCTCTCCCCCTTTTCTATTTCACTGTAGCAGTATTTATAGAAGAAATATTCCCAAGTTTATAAACTGGTCCCTTAACTTTTCTTTTTCTTTTCTTTTCTCTTTTTTTTTGTAATTTTGATTTTTCTCATTTTTTTATATTTTTTTTTTAAAGCAAGCAATATCAATGTCTTAAAAATCAGTGATTATAAAATTAATACGTTAAAAGTTGAACACATTCAAAATACCTTTAAAAATTTAAATTCTTCTAAGATGATGTTGAAAACAATAAAAATGATGAAAATATATCAAAATGCATTTTTTTGGGGTTTTCATTGTTTTTTGCTATTTTTTATTTTTTTTGAAAATTTATCAAAAGCATGGGTCAAAAATTAGGTAGCAACAATGTGTATGAATGCAATTGTATGTACATGCACATTAGGTATGAGGACCAAAAAAACTTGCAGAATGACTACATAGGGAGTTCATGTTTTAGGTCATTACATGACAGGTAGGATTTCTATCTAGTTCTTAAAAAGGTCTATAAATTGTCTAGTGACCACCTCATGTGAAGGCAATATAGGGGTTTATAAGAAATGTTTCGGGTATAGTGTGACCGTCATTACCGAGTAATCACTCAGCTCATAGTTGGATGTTTCATGAATCTGAACCTCGACTGAAAGTCATGAGGCAGACCGCTATTTCCCACTAAACCTAGAATTGAGTTTTTTTGCAAAATTAAAATGCATGCTAAAATAGTAAAAATACAAGCTAAAATTAAAGACTAGTAAAAAGGAAAACAATCAAACAAGCAAAGCTTAGTCAACCTCTCTCTTCTCCCCTTTCTTCCTGTTCATCTTCAATTGGGAATGCCCTCCACTGTTTTACAAGGGACAGTGCAGAGTGAATTAATTCACTCCCCACTATTCATATTACATGTGAATAGTAAAGAGGTTCTCCATTGTTTATTGGGTTGGACAACACCCACCTAGACCGAAATGGTCAACTAAGTCAGTCCCAGTCCAAAAATAGAAAAGAAAACAAAACAAAAAATTTGGGCTAAAGCAAATCGAGTATTAAAATATCAGATTTTCTTTGAAATGTTGCAAAAAAATTTAAATAGAAAAAAAGTTTTTGTTTTCAAGCGTATGACCAACTCTTTCAAAGATTGAAAAAAATTAAATCATATTTTTATACAACAAAAAATTTTAAAATATGAGTTAGCATGCATTTTAACTTTAATAATTAATTTATTAAAGTCATAAGAACTAAGCTAATATTTTAAAAAATATTTTTTTTCTTTTAGTATCTAGAATTACGAATTTATATGTAAAACATGTTCTTGATATTCAAGGGTAGTTCTTTATATATAGACATTAGAACGATCAGGATTTATCTAATAAGATAAAGATCTCCTTATCGAGAAAGACTTTTCTTTAACCTTGGACAAACCAATATTTAGAAAACACAACAATATCTTAGCTTTTATAAAAGATAATTGAACAATACAGCTTACTTTAGGTAAGATATATTTAGAGTGTTAATACCTTTCTTTTATACAACTAGTCCCTGTGCCCAATCTTTGAGACCAGTTAGGCTTTCTAGTGACTAAAAGACTAGGTGACGGTTTTCATTCGTGCTTTCCACGGATAAAAAACTAGAATTTCTTACCTGTCCTATTTTCCTGATTACCTGGATAAATACCCAAATCAACAAAGTGGATAATCATCATGACACCGCATATATGCAATAAGTATCAACAAAAAATTCTACATTAGATAATCATGGATTTAACTAATATTTAAACCCAACATCTCATAAAATTCGTAGCATAAAAATAATTATATTAAATATTTAATATATATGTTATAATCCCAAAATCTCATAAAATATACAACATCAATTATGTTCTTATAAGATATAAAACATAAGGGTTCTATAATCTACTAATGTCGATGAAGTTACAAACAAGATCTTAATATCGGTAACTAACAAACTTTCAATACCTTGAGCATATCTACGACATTCATTTCTTTTATTTTGCAGTTACTTGAATGTTAGCTCGAGAGAAGAGAAGATTTTTTAACTGATGTCATTATAGGCTAGCAAAGCAACGGATATTAGAGATGTTCTCAAATTGATTATGTTCAAGAGGAGATTATACCTAGTTTAATAAAATAATAAAAATAGGATATGAACATTGCAGTGTTGTATTAATGACATATTGATAATCCTATGCAGAATAATATAATTCAAAACTACAAAATTACTATATGTTTTTTTTAGTCATTTTATTATTAATAATATTTTTAACCAAATACTTTTTAATTATTTTTTATTTAATAATAATTTTAACTATATTTTTAACAAAACACATATTTAAATATAACAAACAACAACTAAAAATAATTTTTTTAAAATCTATTTTTTTAAACACAACCGTAAAAGCTACATAGTAACAAATACGGTGTTTACGAACTTTCCAAACCGTACATATAATAAAGTACCACACACTTTTTACTATTTAGTTTAATATTAATCACACGACCCTTGCATTTTCTCATGCAGTCGGATAAGAAGCATCCATGGCAACGCCACATAGGCCCTCGCTAGCACCGATGCCTCTTTGCATCCTCATATACCCGCTTTCACCCCAACTGGTTCCCCACGAATTCTTCACCAGCCAATAATCAGTCCCATCGCTGTCAGTACCAAATCCAATTGCAGTAACCGCGTGGTTTTGCTCTGCCCCACAATCCCCTTTGAAGACACCACTTTTATAAAACTGGAAATCCTGCCCACCACCGTCAATACCAACAGATACTGGCTGTTTGGCCACAGCTTGCAGGAGAGCGTTTTCATTATTCTGTGGCACGTCTTCATACCCAGTTATTTCTGCTTCAATAGATGCTGCCTTCTCGCTATTGCAAGTGCCATCTACTCCTTGGTAGGGGTAATTCTCTTCGCTTGTTAGCCCTCCTTTTCGTATAATATATTGGAACGCAGTATCCATGAAACCACCTTGACAGCCTTTATTTCCAGCATTACAGTCCACAAGCTGTTGCTCTGATAATGATATTAACTTGCCTGTCTTAAGCTTTATAATTCCTTCTATTGCTGCCACTGCGGAAAATGCCCAGCAAGACCCTACCATTCAACATAATAAATCAACGAGTAGGGATCAGAACTCTTTGAAACTTCCCGTATTTAATTATGGCAATTAAAGAATAGTACTAGGAGTAATTATATATCCCCACTTTATATACAAACAAGTTTATCAAGGTCATTATTTAAGAATTATATCAAAGCGGACTCTAGTTTTTCTCAAGTCTTAATTACTTAAAAGGATCTGATATTGTTACACTTTATGGGGTCCATTTTTTTATTTAAGATAAAAAATCTCTCATTATTTTTTAACTGCACAACCAAAGACGTTAGTGTTGTTATGCGACTTTATTTCTATATATATATATATATATATATATATATATAACAAATATTAAGTGATTTATGATTATTTAATTAAGCGTGAATATATTTTTTATAATAGTGATTTTTAAGCGTAAAAAGCTAAAAAAATAAAAGTTGATTGACATATATTTTTTATAATATTTTTTTAGACCGATCTTCAAGCTACGAATCCACGGTGGTCGAAGTTGGTTCAGGTTTTCTAGGGTAGTGACTTGATTGTGATAAACAAACAAGATCTGAGCAAAACATTGCCTAATTGGTGATGTTTGCCGAGCTCCAAAACCACGTAGTTATCATAATTGATAAAAGATTTAACCTATAAAATATAAATTATTAAGTATACTTACCACATCTGCCTTGGTCTTTAACTGGGGTGACTGCTTCAGCATTTCTCCAATCCATTGAAGTTGGTATGTCACTTAGATTTTCATATCTAAATGATGAAGACATCAATTTGGATGATTGTCTCTTGTACCCATGATACATAGCACGAAATTCTTCATTGGTCAAGTCTGCGAATTTGTTCACACCAAGCTTGTATCCGCGGTCAGAACCGTTGTTAAATGCTTCTATACGTTCAATATTTTCCTTGAAAATCAAGTATCGTTTATCCTTCTCTTTCATGTCTCCATAGACACGTCCATATTGAGCCATCCATTCTCCATGCCTCTTCAACATATATTCCTGCTCATCCAGAGGACGACAAGCTATTTTTGTTGCCCATGCAGCTAAAATAAGGAGAAATGGCAGAAAAATATGAGTATTGCATTTTTTTGCGGCCATGGTACGTATAAGAGTATATGCGTCTGCAGCCTTGTAAGTGAGTGTTTTTTTATTGGCACAACAAATTCAAAACAGCGCAATGGGGTTTTATAGACCCAGTTTTGTAACCAGCTTCTTGCTATGTGACTAGTCTTAATTCTACGTTTGGGGCTTAGAAGACGTTTGGAAGTCAAATTTGGAGTTATTTTTGAATGGAAATGTAGGAAAGGTATCTTTAGTGTAGCATCAAGATTCGGAGTTCAAACTTCCATGATCTCTGTACTTTTCTTAATAGAAAAATATTAAATTGAAAATACTTAATGGAAAAATTAAAGAAAATCTGTTTGGCTCATTTTTGTTTTGTTTTTGATTTGAGAAACCTAAACCAAACCAAACAGCATTTTTTTAAATAAAAAAAACCAAAATTATTTTTGTTGGCTAACTTTTTTTTCTTTATACTTCTTTTGAATTTTTTTTTAATTCATTATACTTGAAATACTTATCACTCTATATTTAGTGTTGTAACCCAATTTTGAATTCACTAAAAAATTTTAAATGTTATTTTATCTTATTATTCATAACAAAAAAATATAATAAATAAAAAAAGAGAAGAAAAAAAAGAGTTTAACGGGATAAAAAAAATAAGTTTCGGGCCGTTTCGGGTCTCAACCATCATTTTTGGTTAAAACCAAGTCCACCGGGTCAATACGGGTTCCACCATGTCGACCGAGAGTTTCGGGCCGTTTTGGGGCAAAACCATCATTTTCGGTCAAAACCGAGTCCACTGGGTCAATACGGGTTCCTCCATGTCGACCGCGATAAAAAATAAGTTTCGAGTCATTTGGGTCAAAACCATCATTTTCGGTCAAAACCGAGTCCACTGGGTCAATACGGGTTCCTCCATGTCGACCGCGATAAAAAAATGAGTTTCAGACTATTTTTAGTCAAAACTGGTATTTTTAATCAAAAAACCCGGTCCACCAAGTTGATACCCGTATAAAGATTTTTTTTGTAATTAAAATTGATTTTTAAAAGCAATGATATTGAAAAGACCAAAAAAATAATAATTGCAATAATCTAACAACAAAAAAAATCATTTTTCAAAAGGAAAAAAATAATATAGCTCAATTCGCAACCAATTAAATATAGAAGGACAAAATGAAATTTTAAAGGAAAAGACTGAAAAAAAATTAAAATTTCTTTAAAAAAAAAAACTCTATATAAAAACTGACTCAACCTAGATTAATTTGTCAAATCTGCTATCCAGATTATTAAATAATGATAACTCAAAAGAAAAGAAAAGAAAGAAAATTATAAAGTTTATATAAACAATGTCAATTGATGATATCTAAAATAAAAATTAATTATACAAAAAAAAAATCAATATCCATTAACTTTCTAAACCCGCGGCTCAAATTATTAGAAGCTAAACCATGTTTATGATAATAACTTGTAATATGAAAAGAACAGTGAATAACTTGATACAAGAAACTTTACTAAAATTTTAGTTGAATTGTTAATAAATAAATAAGCATGACCAAGTGTATAAGTGTTAAAAACATTAGCCATAATAAAAGTTTGTATTTAATGATAATGTGTAAAATTTCATATTTTAACATTCTATGTTTAATGAGGGTGTTAGAGAAATAACATGAATATAATTTTTTTTAATTTGTTTATTGTAATGATATCAAATTTGTAGTTTTTATTTCTTTTAGAAAGTAAAAATTACTTAGATTTTTTTTCCTTTTTCTACAGTGTCTTTTTACCTTCATTATTTTCTCTTATTTTCATTCTTTTGTAATGTTTTATTTTAGTTTTTTCTTTTCCTCCTCTATATTTTTTTAAAAAAATTATTATTCATTCTTTATCACTTAAAATATTTATCACTTCATACTTAACCTATTTATATCATTATCTATATTCTTCACGCAAGCCCACAATTTCACGCAAGCCCATCTGTTTATGTCAAATAATCATGCCATGCATCTTTACATTGCGCCCACCAACATAAATTCTACGTGGAAGGCAGATCATAGTATGCAAATGCAAAGTCAACTCAAGTGAAAGACGAAAGAAACTGGTACTTCTTTGGTTCAACCATTAATCACGCATGCTCATTACAAAATTAAGCATCAAACTTGCATAATCACCGGCTTGTGTGAACAAGGAATAAATGAATCAAGACTTAGATGAGATCTTTAAAAAAAAAAGGTACTAGAAGAGAGCAAATCACGGCAACCAAGGAAGGGTCCTAGGGGTCCAACCACAGGAGTCAAGAAGCTCAGTGGAAATTTGGGGCTTAGATTTTGATAAGAGGGACAGACCAGCACATCCCATGGGTTACAACTTCCAATCTTCTTCTTCTTGTTGCCAGTTTTTTTTTAAAAAAAATGGCTCTTTAAAAAAATCGAGTTAAATCATATTAATATACCAAACTCGTATTCCAAAATCATAAAATAATGAGAATCCAAAAAAACAAAACAAAAAAAAATACGAAACTTATATATATATATATATATCAAATGATTGTATTAAAACAAAAATTAGTTATAAAAAAATATTATTAATATGCATTAACTTTTTAAACTTGTAATTCAGGCTAAACTATTAGACTAGAAGAACTCCACCTAGAAAACCAAAACCATAAATTCCAAAACCCAACCATCAATAAGTTTAGATTCCTTTATTTTTGTGGATGTAATTAATATTCCATTTAGAACAGTCTAGACACAGCTTAGAATAATTTTTATTTTGTGATATTGAATGGATCAAAACTAAATTTTCATTGATTTCACAATAATTCCAAGGAAGAAAACTTTATTATGAAATTTTGAGGTTGCTTAAATTAATACTTTAGCTAAAACACTAACTTAACGATCCACTCTTCACAATAGGGTTATTTATTCTCATATAAAAAAAAATGACGTTCGGGCTGTGCAAGCATGTTTAAAAATTAAATTTACAATTAGAGTTATTAAATAAGTTTATTTTATTTTATTTTTTTTTTTAAAAAAACAATGATATTCAATAAACCAAAAAAAAGTAATTATGATAATCTGACAACAAAACAAACCTTTTTTTAAAAGAAAAAAAGCAATATAACTCAATTCCAAATATTTAAATATAGAAGGACGAAACAATATTTTGAAGGATGTGACTGAAAAAAGATTAAATTTTTTTTAAAAAAATGGTTCTATAAAAAAGACCAAGTCAACCTGAAATAACCTATAAAACTTGCTCAGGTCATGAAACAATGATAACCCAAGAGAAAAGAAAAGAAAAAACAGAGAATTACAAAGCCTAATATATATATATATATAAAATGTCAAATGATGGTATCAAAAAGAAAAATTAATTATAAAAAAAAAAACAATATCAATGGGCATTAACTTTCCAAACCTAAGACTCAGGTTATTAGACCGGAAGCACTTCACCTGGAAAAACCATGAGTTTAAATGCCTAATCAATCAAATGTTGAGGGATAAAATTTTAAAAAATTCAATTATACAAAAGGATCTAAAATAAAAAATTAAAATTAAAAGAATAATGATATTAGAGGGAAACTAGTTTTTTTTTATTGAAGGCTAAAATTTAAAAGAAAAATTAATTTAACAAAAGAAGCAAAATTAAATCAAAACAATGAGGATTAAATTGAAAAACAAAATATCATAAATTTTGATTGAAGGATGAAATTGAAACAAATTAAAATTTTATCAAAGGGCCAAATTTAAAATCTTAATAAACGAAAGGACCACTAAAACATTTTGCATGGCTAGCAAGAATTTTGAGTGGAGGAGATAAGAGAAAAGGGGAAAAAGAAAGAAAGTGTTACCAAAGAAAAACCACCTCACCAATGATTACAAGCAATGCTCTAACAGGAAAAGGAAGTTGCGAGGATTTTAGCGATATAATAAAAGAGTATTTTTTTTTTTTACCTCCACGAGGCGCTTATCAGGCCTCCCATGTGCTAATAAGTGCCTTGCATGTACCAGTTACTTTTTTCAAGTATATTTTATATTTATTAAAATACTAAATTGCCTCTTATCCATCATAATTATCACCACAATACTAGTGTGAAAAGAAGAAAATGCTCTTACACGCCAACTCCAAATGTTTTGCTTCCTTGGATATTTTAGTTGTTTCATTGTGATTTTAAAATGAAAAAAAGATTTACTTGTATCTCGAACAATTTACTAATAATAAATGAACCTTCTGCACCGACCTTACAACCATCAACAGCTAGTTCAACCATCAATAGCTAGTTCAATTATTTTTTATGGCAAGAACAAAATTGTTATTACATTGTACTAATGAACATGACCGAGTTTGGGTGAAAAATGTTTTTTTTCCCCAAGAGTTGTAGTTTTGGTTAATTAAGTTCTATTAATGTTAGTTTTCGCTAATCAATTTACTTGTATTTTACCATGGGTCCTATAAATATATATATATATTTAAAAAAAATATAGGTGTTATCAATATGTTTCCATAGTCAAGAAAACTTGATGCACACATTTAACAAAATTAATTGAGAATTATGTGTCAATAAATATTAAAAATTTGTTAATTTTAATTTAAGACTAAGTCAAGAAATTAAGAGATAAATATAGATAAAGATATTTTATCTTATTTTTTGGAAAATTCTTCAAAATTTTTATCTAATTGTATGTTGAAATATTTTTTTTCTTTCAAAAGAAGAGCACTAATTTAAATTTCAACAAAACAAAATAACTTTATAGTATAATTCTTCCTTTTCTTATCATCATTTTTTTAATATAGCATTTTGAGACATGGAGGAAATTAATGGTTTTTTTATTAAAAAAACTTTTAAAGGAATGAAATAAGGATAAAAGACATCTCTTTAATTAACCCTTTTTTGAGACTTTTCTTTTATCAGAATAATTATTTTTAAACAACAACTTATCATAACCTTAAAACCAAGTGTTAGTATAAATAAAACAATAAAGTTTTGATATTTTTTATGCAAATATAAAAGAATAACATACTTTTCATGTGATGTCACAAAAAAAAATTGAAATCTATTTTTTAACCAATCAAATGGATATAAAAATGCATTAGCACGCAGTA